TATGGGAAGAGAGGAGGTGGCTGAACCTGTTGAGGCTGAGGTTCAGATATAAGAGGAGACAGACCAATGTCCTCTATCTGAGTTGGCCCACAGGCATAGCAAGGCGCCAGCTGAGGAGTCGACCACAACTGAGGAAGAGTGTCACGACCCCAAATTCCGAACCTAAAAGGAATATTGGAGCCGGACTAAACCTGTAAAAAATCCTCCAAAATATGCATTCATTAAAAGACCATCAAAATAAACTCTTCATTGAACTAAAACCAACAATAAATATTTTCTATAATTCAAAAAGTCAACACTAATCTAATTAACTTGATAAAAATAATTATTCCTCAACTTTAAATAAAGCTCGACCTAAAGGAAAGAATCTCATTATTACAAAACTCTTAATTCATCAACTAAACATCAAAGACTTTATTTAACCTTCGCCTATAGGATAATAACAATCTCGAATTATATTCCTTGCTCCATTCTAAAATTTTGACAAATCCACAATTCCACCTAATCCCGAGTCTTTGAAAAGAATGAAAATAACACAATGAGTTCACAACTCAATAAGTGGATAAATTCATACATTAGACACTGGTTTTGTAAAACTAAAATAAATAGACTTGATAAAAAAAATACTAAAATAGTAAAAATTATAATACAACATTTTCAAAATATATACATGCAATGGAAATAAGCAGGTCACATCTCAATGCGCTCAACACTTCGATACTCCGGTTGACTTGGCAAACCCCACTATTATATAGCCCGTGGTCGGGACGGTAAGACCCAAATTTGGGCTCTTAGCGCTAAAATAAAAACCTCATAGAGGTACATTGAGCCTTGTTTAGATAACTTTCTTATCCCCAACATATACCAGTATATTGATCTCAGATGCATATGCTTTAAGAAAATAGAACATAGTTCATAAAACCAAATACGTTATACAAAAATGCTAAAGGCTAACCAATAATGAAATAAATCATCCACATATGCATCTCATCTTACTACTATATGAAATGACATAACAATTGACAAAGAAAATAAGCTCAGGTTTATACCAAATAACCGCGTGCATTAATCTAATCAACAATTAATATGCGAACAACCATATGAAAGGGTATAATCCATAAAAACAAACTTACATATAATCAATGTAATTTTATATGAAAAATAAGCAGCGAATAATGTACAAATTCACCACTTGCATTAACTTAATAGACAATCCAATCTAATTCCTGACGATTCGATAGTGCCTCTAGAATTTCCTAAAGATTAAATTCAAAGAACCATCAATATGATCCTCCTATAAACAATTGATACGTTAACATACTAAGCCTATTTAAAAGATCATATTCTATTACTAAAATTGAGCAAATTAGTTTCTGTTTTTGCTTGCTACAAAATGACAAAAGAACCTATAGCTTCTATCTAAAAATCAAACAACTAATATTCTATATTCTATAAGTTACATGCAACCATCTTGATAATTTGTCATATAAGATGATATCACGTATATAGGAGTTAAAAGAAAACAAGTGCTTCACTATACCTATCATTAGACAAAAGTATTGAAAGGTCATGGATTTTTGTTCTACAACTGCAAGCTTAATAAGCCTTCGGCCTCAAAACACGTTGAGGCAGCTTAATAAGCCTTCGGCCTCAAAGCTCATTAAGGAGCAGCGCCGAGATTCGGCCCGATGTGTTGAATGACAGAACGAAGCCAAACACATTCTTTGCTGGTTTTATGGATCGCGAGGAGTTCGGAATGGTTGGATGAGATTGCTACAGTGATTTGCTTGACAGACCTCCAGGAGATGGCTGTACCACCGAATGTAAACACAAATCCGGTTTGTGATTTCTCGGTGTGGGGATCAGACCTGTAACCTGCATCTGAACAACCAATTAAGGTGGGAGACCCACCCTTCGGGAAATATAATCCCAGGTCTATATACCCTTGGAGGTGGCGCAGAAGATGCTTAACTCCATTCCAGTGGCGTTTTGTGGGCGCTGCACTGTATCTGGCTAGTAGGTTAACTGAAAACGCTATATCGGGACGCGTACAGTTAGCCAGATATAGTAGTGCTCCAATGGCACTGAGGTAAGGTACTTCAGGACCTAGCATTTCCTCCCCCTCTTCTAGCGGACGGAAGGGGTCATTCTTTACATCCAATGATCGAACAACCATTGGTGTACTAAGAGGATGACATTTATCCATTCGGAAATTTTTAAGTAATTTCCGTGTATATGTGGATTGGTGTAACAGGATACCACCCTTAAGGTGTTCGATCTGTAAGCCAAGACAATACTTTGTTTTGCCTAGGTCTTTCATTTCAAAAGTATTCTTAAGGCTTTCAGATATCCCAGCGATCTCTGCAGGAGATCCAATGAGATTTAAGTCGTCGACATAGACGACGACTATAATGAATCCTGTTCCTGATCTTTTTATAAAGATACACGGGCAGACTATATCATTTTTGAATCCTTGCATAGCAAGGAACTCACTTAGTCTGTTATACCACATTTTCCCCGATTGCTTAAGACCATATAATGATCTTTGAAGCCTAACAGAATAGACGTCCCGAGGTCTATCTGCTATCTCTGGTGGAATTTTATATCCTTCAGGGAGTTTCATATAGATATCTTTATCTATATTGCCATATAGATATGCAGTCACAACGTCCATGAGCTGCATTTCTAGGCCTTCCAGAGATGAGAGGCTTATTAGGAATCGGAAGGTATTCCCATCCATAACCGGAGAATATGTTTTTTCATAGTCTATTCCCGGTCTTTGGGAAAAACCTTGTGCTACAAGCCGTGCTTTGTAGCGCACAACCTCGTTGTGTTCATTTCTTTTTCTGATGAAGACCCACTTATATCCCACAGGTTTTACACCTTTAGGTGTTTGGACTACTGGTCCAAAGACTTCGCGTTTCAAGAGTGAGTCCAGCTCTACTCCTATTGCCTCGTTCCACTTTGGCCAATCATCTCTGTGTTTACATTCCGCTAGAGACCGTGGTTCGATGTCATCGTCGTATTCAGTGACATGAACGGCAATATCGAACGCAAAGTCGTCGTCGACGACTGTGCTTTTTCTGTCTAGTACCTCCTCAGTACATACAAAATTTAATGATGTTTCTCCTATTTGTTCCTCTTCAGGGGAATCTAGGAGTGGAGAGGAAGCTGGTCTGAGCTCAGTATCCTGTGTTGGGTTCATCTTTATTTCTCCAGGATTTTTTCTTTTACGAGGGACTTTGTCCTTCGAACCTGGTGGGCGTCCTCTTTTCAATTGAGGTACAGCCGTTTCTGCTGCCGGCGGATTGCATCCATCTTTGGGGATGTCAATCCTAGCTGGCGTGTTGATAGCAGGGACGTGTGATCTGATAATCTTCTGGTTATCAGTGAATTTATCCAGAAGTAAATGTATTGTATTCTGAAGATGAAGAATCTTTAGGATCTCATCTTCACATTGACTAGTACGCGGATCATAATGAGACAAAGTCTTGGTGTTCCAAGAAATGGTCTTAGAAGCATCAGGCTTCCTGGACTGTGTGCCAAGTTTAGGAAATGAATCCTCAACAAATTCACAATCATCAAGACGTGCTTTAAATGCGTCACCCGTCTGGGGTTCAAGGTATCTTATTATAGAGGGCGAATCAAACCCTATATAGATACCCAAACGACGCTGTGGACCCATTTTGGTCCTTTGTGGAGGAGCAATTGGGACGTAAACTGCACAACCAAACACTCTCAAATGTGAGATATTCGGAGGTGCACCATAAGCAAGCTGCATTGGTGACAAAATATGGCCACCAGAGGGTCGTATTCTGATAAGCGAAGCGGCATGCAATATGGCATGACCCCAAGCCTCAACAGGCAACTGTGATTGCATCAACAATGGACGAGCAATCCATTGCAATCTCTTAATTAGAGATTCTGCTAACCCGTTCTGGGTGTGAACATGTGCTACAGGATGTTCAACTTCGATGCCAGTTGCTAGGCAATAGTCTTGAAAGACTTGTGAAGTGAATTCTCCCGCATTATCAAGACGTAATTTCTTGATTTGATTATCGGGGAAATGAGCCCGCAACTTAATAATTTGTGCCAATAGCTTTGAAAAAGCTAAGTTGCGGGTGGACAAAAGGCACACGTAAGACCACTTGGTTGATGCATCTATAAGTACCATAAAGTACCTAAATGGTCCACTTGCGGGGTGAATAGGCCCACAAATATCGCCATGTATTCTCTCCAAGAAGCTAGGAGACTCTAATCCCACTTTCAGAAGGGAAGGTCTCGTGATCAGTTTACCTTGGAAACAAGATAGACATGAGTAATCACCCTTCTGAAGAATCTTCAGGTTCTTCAGGTTGTGTCCACTTGATTGGCTCATGATGCGGTGCATCATTGCTGATCCTGGGTGACCCAGTCTGTTATGCCAAAGTTTAAATTTCGTCGAAGAATGGCACTTCTGGTGCACAATCATGTTAGCTTCTACTGGTTGAATATATGTATGATAGAGACCCGACGGGAGTCCCTTGAATCGTTCTAAGATAGTTTTTAAACCATCTTTTTGATGAGTTACATACAAATACTCATCCTCATTTATATCATTGATTTCTAAGTGATATCCGTTTAAACGAATATCCTTGAAACTTATGAGGTTTCTATTAGATTTCGAAGAGAATAATGCATCTTTTATTATTAGTCTCGTTTTATTTGGGAGCAATATCATTGCTTCACCAAATCCTTCTATTATGTTAGATAGTCCCGAAATCGTAATTACGGGATTGTCATAATCATATAAGCTTTTGAAATAGCTTCTTTCGCGAAGTATTGTGTGCGTCGAGGCACTGTCCACAAGGCACTCACACTTCATCTATAACATGAATGCAATTTTTTAATCTAAAGAAAATAACTATCTTTATTGAAAAGTAAAGTGCATTACATGGAAAGTAAAGAAGTAAAGATGAAAGTACTATGAGAATTTAAATGCATATAAAGATAACATGGATCTAGTCTAGAAGATCATCCATTTCGATGTCATCAGCAGTGAACTGAGAAGACGGCTGCTTTTCCACCAGATTTGTTTCAACAGGAGACTTCAGGCTCGCTAGATACAGATCTTGGAGGTGTCGCGGAGTGCGACAGTTTCTGGACCAATGTCCAGTCATGCCACATCTGTTGTATTTATCCTCCCAAGTGTTCTTGGGAATGGACGTCAGCTCAGTTGTCTTCTTCTTCCACTTCTTCTTTCCCTCACTATTGCTGCTCTGGGGAGGGTTGTTTTTCTGGGGTGGACATCTGGCCTGCCACTTAGGGGCTTTCTCCTTGTTGAATTTACCCTTATGCTTTTTCTTCTGCTTCTGGGAAGAAAACATGTGAGCTTCGGGTGGTGGAGCTGAGCCTGCAGGGCGTAGGTTATGAGTGGCCTAAAGCAATTCTCTGTTTTGCTCCGCCATCTGAAGGGTGGAGTGCAATTCAGAATACTTTTTGAACTTTCGTTCGCGAACTGTTGCATGAGGATTGCATCCTTCTCGTGGAAGGATGTGTAAGTCTTCTCCAACATGCGTTCCTCCGAAACTTCTTCACCACACAACTTCAGGCGTGAGGTGATATTATGAAGTGCTGAGTTGTACTCAGCTACGGACTTAAAGTCCTGAAATCGGAGGTTTTCCCACTCATAACGTGCACGTGGGAGGATCACATCTTTCTGATGTTTGTATCGGTCCTAAAGTGCAGTCCACAATTCCTTTGGGTCCTCTACAGTCAGGTATTCGGCCTTCAGGGTCCGATCAATATGTCTCCTGATGTAGATAATGGCTTTCGCCTTATCTATATCAGAGACGATCACTGTAGTAGCAACCTCAGTATTATTTACAGCATTACACATAACAGTGGCCGGAGCCGGTGGAGCAGGAGTTGAAATTGTGGCTAATAAGCCCTGGGCACGTAAGTGGAACTTCAGGTCCACATGCCAACTCAAATAATTCTTGCTAGCAGCGTCAAGGACTTCGAAATCAACACTCGCTATTTTAGCCATTTTATCTATGCATTTGAAAGACATGAATTAATAATAAGAAATTAAAAATTCATGCAACAAACATGTTGCGTAGATCAGCCCGTCACCAAAAAATAAAAAGTGTCCAAAGTCCGATTATACAGTCCAAAGATAACAAAAAACATAAAATTAAAATACAATTTGGAAAACCCTTGGGGGTCCCTACATTTTGCAAAAATGCCTTCGTCTTCAATGGAATACACCGGTCTTTGACGTTTTACAATTATATCCTCACTACAATTTCTCTCTCAGAAGGAAAAGAAAATACAAGGAATTTAAATTTGGTGACAAACAGGCTGATCCAAAAACCACAACATTATTTATTTAAACATCCATGTAATTTAATAATAATATATGCAACAGGCATAACAAATTTGGACAGTAAACCCTTGCTTTCTTTGAATTTTTTTTAGACTTCTTTTTGTTTCTATGCGATACTGCCTACTTAATACTTTTAATATCATGTAGAAATTGTAAGTTTGAACTTGAAAATAACAAGTGATGATTAAAAAAATAATGCAAGTGCCCTGAATGGAAACTCTGAAACAACCAAGGGTTTAGCATTCCATTAGAAAAATGTATATGTGTTTAAAGAATAGCATTAAAAACTATAGGGGCCAAATATGATTTTATGTCATGTTAACTGGACATATACAATAATACCTTGGTGTTGGTGTTACTGTTTTCTTCTCAAGAATATGTAATTTAAGAGCATTTCCCTAGCAATGGTCACTTCCGTTAATACTAAGCAAAACCAAATAATATTCATGGTAATAGGAAGTGCTATCAACGTAAATGTGCAAATTAAACACAATATATGAATTTTTACAAACTAGCAGAAGCCGCAGAATCTCGCCAGTTTCATCAACATGAGCACATAATTTTTTTTATTAGCAATTAACTAATAGTATTAATTACTAGTTATGCCAACAAATAATGAAAGCAATTAGATTAGATGAACAACAATAAAATTGCTTAATAAACAAAAAAAAATTTCCCGAGTGAACAGTAACCCTCGGTGAACAGTAACAATTTTTTTTTTTTTTGGTTACTTTTTCAGCTGCCATATATTATTCTACGGATTATAGTAATTACCTCTAGATCACAGATCTAGGGATTCTACGGATTATAGTAATTACCTCTAGATCACAGATCTAGGGACGATCGATACTAAAGATCCGTAGAGCGCTGCCTCCTTGCGATGATCCGTCGAACGCTCCTGCTGCAACGAACCAGATCTCAATGCGCAAAAGAGGAAGGAAATATTTTTTTTTTATGGCTCAGGGATTCAAGAACACTTCGTGCTGATAACGTGTTTAAAGCAAATACATAGGCCAAAGGCCTATGATATATATTTATACTAATCAATGTGAATAGATTGAGTACCCAAGAGTCACCCTCACTTAATGGGGTGTTACATCACCATAATGTGGTGTGAATGGAGGGATAATGAGGGGGAGGCCAAAGGCCTCCCTCATCTCATAATAATAGCTTCTATTTTCAAGATAGAGGAATAAATGGGGAGAGATGATTGTTAGAATTAGAATCATTTAATTCGGCTGTTGATTCCGAAGTAGTGACTGTTATTGGTTGGCGAGAGAGGAATGGCGAGAGAGATGACTTGCTAGAGGAACGGTTAGAATGATCATGTATTAATGATTTAAGTTTAAATTTCATTTCTTCAGACCAGGAGCTGACACGTGACAAAAGGAATTTATGACTCATGGTGAAGAGTAGAGCTATAGATATTATTTTATTAGTACAAAATCAGTTCTTGTTTGTATATAGCATATAGTATTGTTCAGGGGGGTTTCTCTGTTAGCCGGATTTGGATCCCTTTTGTTATCGAAAAGAATCAATAGCCGCTAAAAAAACATGTCACCTAACTACATTTATAAACCTACACTTGACTGAACGTCGGGAATTATCAATGTTTTTTTTTTCCCTAAACATCGAGTCCAGGCCCATAGCTTTAATCCCACAAAGGAATAAGAGTCGATATTAACCTCAATCGCTCCCATGTCGCTTCCTAAATCCCTCAATTTCAAATCTAGCTTATGTCAACTGCGATTGCCGACATCTCGAGCTAGCTTCGATCGCCGAAGACGACAACGAAGACGATGGCTGCTCATCTCTATCGATCGACGATGACTCTTGCTCCTCGATTGATCGACGGCGACTACTCTTGCTCCTTGGACCGACAACGACGACTCCTGCACCTTGATTAACGGATGATAACGATGACTCCTAATCCTTCGATAAAAACGACAGCGTCTCGAGCTAGTGTGTAAGTAAGCAAATGCCTCATCTTGCTGTCAAACCCTGATCCTCTCCCGACTTGATTAATCAAACCCTAAGGCTATCAAACAATTAATCGTTAGTTTGTCCTTCTCTTTCCCAAATTTTAGTTAATACTTTATTTTGATTTTTAGAATTATTTTATTTTATTTTATTTTGTAATTTTAGGTGATCAATAGATATCAATTCTCTCTCTCTTATGGATTGTTAGAAATTTTAGCCAAAACCCCTAAAACAGCAGAAACGCAGTATAGAGAAAAGTACACCAAGATTTACGAGGTTCGACAAACTTGCCTAGTCCTCGGGAGCCACATAGATAAATTTATTATTAATCAACAGGAAATTATAATCTTAGAGCAGATCCCAAACTGAGATCTTTCAATACGAACACTGTAACTACAGTGTTAATAGTTCAAAGGGAATGATCCCTCTTTAAAGCTCTTGAGAACCCCCCCTCCCCCTCTTTTAATTCCCCATAAAAAATTAAGAGCTGGGAATAAATCCATGAAGGGAAGAAAAAAAGAAATCGCTGCTGTGATTTTTGAGTCCGCCGCTGCAGGAGAAAAACGCAAGGGAGAGAGGAGAAAAAGATCTACAAAGCTCGAGCTCTGGGTTTCCCTTTTATAGGGAAACTCTAGGGTCAGGCTGGCGACAGGCTATTGCCAGCTGACGCGTAGATCTCGCCTCGAGCCGAAGCTCATCTATGAGTGTCAACCTCGTCCGCTTAGTCTGTTCGAGCTCGAACTTCGTCCGTTCGAACCTCGTCCAAAGCCAACAAGCTCGTGCGAGCTCAACCTCATCCTAAGCTCGACTTTGTCCTAACTTCAACATCGCCTGCAGGCGTCAACCTCGTCCACTCGTCTGTTCGATCTCGAACCTCGTCCGCTCGAACCTCGTCTGGAGCTCTTCGCCGAAAGCTCGCTAGCGTTAGGTTTGGATCCACACCCAAATTCAACAATCTCCCACTTGGAGACCAAACCGCAGGCCGCAGGCTATCTCAACAAGCACATCTGCTGTGTGGCTCTGCCCTCATCACCTATGCATAAAGGCCAATTGAAGTTGTGCACAACTCCAGTTTCTGAATGGTTACCGTCTTTGTTAACATATCTTCTGGATTCTTACTTCCTAGAATCTTCCACAGTTTCAACACGTCTTTTCTGAATGGTTACCGTCTTTGTTAACATATCTTCTGGATTCTTACTTCCTAGAATCTTCTACTGTTTCAACACGTCATCTTCCAACAGGGATCTGATGAAGTGATACCGAAGCCTAATATGCTTCGTTCTAGAATGAAATGCAAAGTTCTTAGCCAAGTGGTTCGCACTCTGACTATCGCTATACAAAATATTCTTCTCCTGTTTGAATCCCAACTCTGTTAACAAACTCTGAAGCCATATCATCTTTTTACTAGCTTCAGTCACCGCTACATACTCAGCTTCTTTAGTGGAAATAGTGACAATTTTCTATATCTGTGACATCCAACTAACAACTACAGTTTCAACAGTGAATACATAGCCAATGGTGCTTCTTTGGTGATCAACTTCACCGCTAAAGTCTGCATCTACGTACCCTTACACTTCCACCTCTCCCTTACCAAAGTGCAGACACTTCTGTGTGGTGCCTCATAGATACCTCAGAATCGACTTGACCGCTTCCTAATGAGCTTTTTCTGGATTCAACATTAACCGGCTGATCACTCCCACTACATGGCCAATGTCTGGTCTCGTACAGACCATTGCATACATCAAACGTCCGATAGCTGAGGTGTAAAGGATCTTAGCCATACTCTCTTTCTCTTCTTTTGACTGAGGAGACTGATCCTTCGATAGGGAAAAATGGCTGGCCAAGGGTGTGCTCACTGGCTTGGCGTCGGCCATGTTGAATCTCTATAAAACACGGTTGATGTACTCCGTCTGAGATAACTGCAAGAGACCTCTCTTCTTATCTCTCGTAATTTGCATTCCAATGATCTTCTTTGTTAGACCCAAGTCCTTCATGTCAAACTCCTTTGACAGCTGCTACTTTAAACTCCTGATATCATTCTATTCGGCACCTGTAACCAGCATATCATTAACATATAACAGTAGGATGATATAGCTGGACTGATATATTTTGAAGTAGCAACAATGGTCGGCGTTGCACTTCTAGAAACCTTCCTTGTGCATGAAGCCGTTAAACTTCCTGTACCACTGGTTTTGGGCTTGTTTCAA